CCCACCTTCTCCCTCTCCAGCTTTTATGCTTCAAAAGTATTCAATGCCCTGTGGGTAGATGGTTGGTGGGTGCTCTGGTAAGGTTTGCTCCTTCTTTCCTGTCAACATCCATCGTCCTTATCTCTCCTCTTTCTTTTTTGTGGTTGTCATTCTCTTGTAATACCTGTAATCTTAGGTACTTATATGATGCTGGCGGTATTGCTTGCAGGCGTAAGTCATTTTTGGCATCCTTTGAGATACAACTGTATGCAATACTGCCCGCAATGACTTAAATGTGTTGCAAGTGCCATAAAATGCTTACCAGATGTCCTCTGTGTGTGTGTTTCAGAGTGCTGAGAGGTTCTATGTGGAGGCAGGCTGTACCCGTGAGGCTGTGGACATGTACAACCAGGCCGGCATGTGGGAGCAGGCACACAAGGTGGGTGTTTTTGATGTAGATTATTCTCCATGCTTCTCTGTCTTTGTGTTACCATCTGTCTTGAAAGGTCCAGTGGGATTCTGGGTGTCCGTTCGTTCTTTGTCCCTGGTTGGCTGCTTACTCATTTGTTTCACTCTCCGTTTCTTTCTCTTTCTCACACACCCACACACACACTAACACACACACACACACACACACACACACACACACACACTCACACACATACATGCACCTGCACCTAAACACACATACACACACATACATACACGCACACGCAATCACACACATACACACATATATATCCCCACACATACACTCACAAGCACACACACACACACACCACACATATATATCCCCCCCTACACACACAGCACACACATACACAAAAAAAAAACAATAATTGCTTTATAAAGCATGCTGTATGCGCTTTGCAACTACAGACTAATTCTCACACTTACCCTCCCTCTTTCTGCCCCCCCCCCCACAGCTTGCAGCCACCTACATGAAGGGAGAGGATGTCTCAAACCTGTACATTGCTCAGGCCCAACAGCTGGAGGACCAGGGCAAGTTCAAGGAAGCTGAGAGGTCAGGGTTCACTTTGTCTGTATACAGAGACAGTTACCAACGTTTCTCATATTTTTCCACTTATACTTTCTTTCCATATTACTTTTATTCTCAAGAGTTTTTTTTTTTTAGATTCATGTGTAGGTAGATATATTGTATCATACTTTTTCTTTCTAGTTTAAGTACAATTTTCCGTAAATGTGCCCAAGTGTTAACCGCTTGGCTGCTGTGTAGATATATGGACTCACTTGTGTTTTCCAAGAAAGGTTCACTGCCGTTTTTCCTACTGACATATAGAGTAAGTTTGAAGAGAACTTGTGCGGTCACTTGATCTCAAATAAGGGGGAAAATATTGCGCTTTTGTTTGAATTTCTGGAATAAATGTTTTATCTTTTCTGTACAAATGTACAAAGCCTCTTGATGTTATTCCATGTCTTCCCACTTTTCTGTGGGAAGACATGGAATAACATCAAGAGGCTAGCCCAGGATAGAGAAAAGTGGAGGGTGTTTGTCCGTGGCCTATAATAATAAATAATAATAGATAGCATTTGTATAGCGCATATCCCCGCTCAGCAGCAGGCTCTGTGCGCTTTACACTATATTATTACCCCAGCAGACCATAGAACACTCCGAAACATTCTCAGCTTCCCGGGAAGCATACAGTGCAAGCAGCCGATTAAGCGCTCAAACACTAACAAACTGACAAGATCTTTCGCTGTCTATAGCCGGGTACCCATTCCCACCTGGGTGAAGTGAGGAAAATTCGTGTTAAGTGCCTTTCCCAAGGACACAACGTCGTGCCCTTGACGGGATTCGAACCCACGACCTTACGGTTGCGAGTCCGAGAGCCTAACCACTAGGCCACCGACGCCACATAAATATATACCCTGGTGCAGGGTGAGAAAGGCAATGATGATGATGATGATGTACAAACGTAGATGGAACCATCTCAGGGGCGAAGGGGGTTAAGTAATTAAAAAGAACCAAAAAAAGCCAACTAACAAAGAAATGTATTTTCTTCACCGTGTTTGTGTCACGTGCCAGGTTGTACGTGGCAGTGGAAGAACCGGATCTGGCTATCACTATGTACAAGAAGCAGCGAATGTACGGGGACATGATCCGACTGGTCAAGACACACCACGAGAACTTGCTGACCGACACACACCTACACCTGGCCAAGGTAATGCTACTCATCACAGTCACTACAGAATTGCCTTGCTCGTGTTTTGTTGTTTGGAGAAAACTTGCAGGAGGAAAAAAACCCAGTGCTTATCCAAGTCAACCTCGTGACTTCAGTAAATGTGAAATTAAGTCAGTAATTGGATTTTTAGTCCACGAAATAAAATTGTAGTATTCTAAGAAAACTTAACAAATTACAGTCATTTCTACAGTATCCATGACTAGAAACCTAAGTAAAATGACTTGTGTTACAACCGAGACGTGATGACGTTCTACACCTCTGCTGCTTACAGCTCAGTAACAGCTGGCACCACGACGGTGTTCACTCTCATTTTGACAGGAAGTTTAAATAAATTTGCTTTAGTACCCACAGACTGATTAATTGGTAAGTGACGGCATGGAACATCTTTAAAAATTACTTTAGACTGCAAAATTATTTGGTAATACATTTTTGTTATTACATTCTGTTTTTAAAATAATTTAAGGCTGCATTACTATTTGGTTTTCTATAGTGAAGCATCAAGCATGTTGGACTATGCTGCTGTGCCAAGGCAGACCGTCGTATCTGCAAAAATTATTAATTTTTGCTTCTTCATTTAAATGGAAGCCTATACCCATTCTGCATCTTGTGTCAAAGGCAGGACGACGTATCTGCACTACAAATAGGATATTTCACTATGGCAAACAGACGTAACTGAAGGGCCATATACATATTTCCAAGGTCAGTGCTGCGTAACTCAAAATCATAAAAAGTGCAGATATGTCGCTCTGCCTTGGCACGGCAGTATGGAGCCTTCATTTGAAACCACAACTCACGCTCACGCTCTCGCTCCTGCATCAGATGACTGTGTATATGTTGCTGTCAATCTTTGTAGGAATGAGTGTTTGTTGGCACTCTTCTCACTCCTTCTCTCAGAAGGTGATGATGTAAGGGTGCCACTGGTAGGTCTTATTTCTTTTCTGTCCTGTTATTTGTCTTGCTGCTTACTCCCAACACTAAATGACCTTCATTGCTTCAACATACTTTTCTGTATCTCAAATAAACAAGTTTATTTCTCACTCTTCACTCCCTCCCCTTCCAACACCCCCACCCTCTCTAATGCTACCTCTCCACTTTTGTTTCTTCAGGAGTTGGAGGGAGAGAACAACTTCCGTCAAGCAGAACATCACTACGTGGAAGCCGGCGACTGGAAGGCTGCTGTCAATATGTACCGTGCTCAAGATATGTGGGATGAGGCTTATAGGGTCAGTAAGCATGTTTGTGTGTGTGTGTGTGTGTGTGTGTGTGTGTGTGTGTGTGTACACTTCTTTAAATGGGGCCCTGGAAACTAGACAGCTGTCATCAATATCTTGCTCAAGGTATGCGGGATGAGGCTTATAGGGTCAGTAAGCGTGTGTGTGTGTGTGTGTGTGAATGTGTATATGTGTGTGTGTGTGTGTGTGTACACTTCTTTAAATGGGGCCCTGGAAACTAGACAGCTGTCATCAATATCATGCTCAAGGTATGTGGGATGAGGCATACATTGTCACCTATGTATGATGTGTGTTCGTGTATTTGTGTGTGTGTGTGTGTGTGTGTGTGTGTGCGCGCGCGCGCGCGTGCATCACTACATGGAAACAAGGGACAGGAAAACTACAGGCAACCGTCAGTACCTACCACACTCGGATATGAAGTGGCAATACAAGGTCAGCATGTGTTTGTGTGTCTGTGTGTGTGAGAGAGAAAGAGAATGACATACTAGTTGTCTGACCTTTGACCCCTCTGTGTCCACAGGTGGCCAAGGCTCAGGGCGGTGCCACAGCGGCCAAACCCGTGGCGTACCTGTGGGCCAAGAACCTGGGAGGAGACTCGGCAGTCAAACTGCTCAACAAGTTCGGTCTGCTGGACGCAGCCGTCGACTATGCTGCGGAGAACTGGTACTGTTGTGTGTCTGTTGCTTTTCCTCTTTGTTTTTGTGGTGTTGTTTTTTTCTTCTTTTTTTTTTTTTGTTTTTTGTTCTTGTGTTTCTGAAAAAAACTGTTACCAGTGTGGGGTAATGGTTAAGCTTTTGATCTTACATGCAGAAGATATGAGTTCCGTTCTTTTGTGGAGAAACTTATTACATCAGGTGTCTCCTCCTATCTGCTGAGAAGCCATATCTTACTCACCCTGGGATGGCCCTGACAGATGGGATGGAAACAACCGGCTCCTAAATTATCTAAATGTTATAGATAGGGGTGTATATATGCAACATTTTCTATTATTTTCGGAGTGGGCTATGTATTTCATGACCTGAAGAGATTTTTTATATTGTAGGCACATGTACTATGTTGATTACGTACTCGGTCAAGTAATGTTAATACAGCTTTTAGGTTTGTGGTAACTGGGTGTCTCCTTGAGCAAAGCACAATGACTTGGCGACCAGCAGTGGGTTTAGTTTGTGATGTAACGTTATTGACTGTTACGTTTGTCATTATAAGATAAATCTTTTTTTTATCGTTCACTCCATCCACTGGTACATTCTGAACATAATCTTCCTTTTTCTCAACTTTTGATCGTATGATCACCACCATCATCTGGATTTTGCTGCTGTCTGTCTGTCTGTCTGTCTAACCCTCACAACCTCCGACAAGCAAATTTGTTAACTGATTTCTATGAGTTTGTTTTTTTTGTATCAACAGTGCATTTGACTTTGCCTTTGAGCTGTGCACAATCGCAATGAAGGAGAAGCTGCCGGACGTGCACCTGAAACACGCTATGTTCCTGGAGGATGAGGGCAAGTTCCCCGAGGCAGAGCAGGAGTTTGTCAAAGCACAGAGACCCAAGGAGGCAGTGCTCATGTGAGTGAGGCATCATTGTGAGGCGAGGCTGGGTGATGGGGGTGAGGGGAGAGAAGGGCTAGGGATGATGATGAGGATAAGGGAGGGATGGGGTTAGCTTGGGCTGGTGGATTGTTGAAGCAGAGGATAGGAAATAGAAAATAAAAGGTTAGGGGGACAAGTGTTTTGTCAGTTGTTAGAGTGTGGTTGTCTCTATGAGTCATGGTGGAAAGTCGTTCACATCTCAGGTCCTGGTTTGACCCTGGTCTTCCTCACTGGTTGGTCCTACTTCTTTTCATTGCCTTTTCTGCTTTCTGTCTATCTTTCTTGTCTATACCTTTTGCACTGAGCAACCATTACTGCGTCACTGGGTTTCACTGTACTCAAGCAAAGTATCCTGCTTTTTCTTCATCTCAAAATGTTGGGCTTCCTTTTAATCAAACAAATAATCTTTCGTTTGCCCTGCACAAACTGACTGTTATTGTATTAATGTGAATTTCTTTCATCAAATGAGCAAACAAATATACGTACTGTCAATGTCCAGCAAGGAGTAGTTACCTAGACTTTATTCTCTCTCCACATTGTTGTCTCAATGTGCTTCTCTCCACTGGAGTGAATAAACCAAGTGTACAGCCAATGTCCTGCTGGAGTAAGTTATCTGTGACTTATTTCCTCTCCACATTATCGTGTGCAGTTGCTTCTTTATACTCAAAGAAACAAACTAATACATGTCCAGCCAGTGTCCAGTTTGACCTGGTGATCCGGACTTACTTGACTTTCTATTGATCTGACCTCCCCAGGTACGTGCACAACCAGGACTGGGACTCTGCCCAGCGTGTGGCGGAGGCCCACGACCCTGACTCTGTGGCCGATGTGTTGGTGGGCCAGGCCCGCTTCGCTTTTGAGGAGAAGGATTACACCAAGGCTGAGTCCTATCTGTTGAGGGCTCAGAGGCCTGAGCTGGCCATTAAGTTCTACAAGGTGGGTTTACGTGCATGTGTGTGTACATGTGTGTTTGTCTGTATATGTGTGTGTGTGTACATGTATGTGTACATGTGTGTGTACACGTGTGTGTGTACATGTGTATGTGTGCTTGTGTATGTATGTGTGTATGTATGCTTGTGTGTGTGTATGTGTGAGTGTGTGTGTTTGAGGAGGGAGATACCACAAAAACAAAGCTCTTTCCCTGCTCTGTGAGCATACAGAGGCCAGAGCTATCCATCAAGTTCTACAAAATGTATGAGTGAGTTCATGTCTATGTGTGCAATAAGGGGATTATGATGGATACGATAAGCAGACAGATTCTGGGATGGATCCTGAAGAGGGGGGAGAGCAGAGATGGACATGTTTCTACTGCCGTGACCCCAACACAGTGGACAAGTAAGAAGGGGAGATGTGAAGAATTGAATGTAACAGCTCAAAAACAGGTTTTATTATTATGTGTATGGGTTAACTCTTTGACTACCAAGGCGTACCCCTGTTCTTCTTTTGTGTCTGATGGGCATAATTCCATCGGGAAGTCAGACATGTTATATACCAAAATGAAGGTAATTGAATGTAGAATATTTTTAATCTAATAAAAAAATTGAAAAAAATCATAAATCCAAACAAACATGGGAGGTAAGTGAGGACAAGGTGAAAAAAATAAAAAAATAAACAAAATATTTCCAACTTACATTTCTCACAGTGTATAGCTGCTAAATCCAATCACTTCATGACTTAGTCATACTGAAGTATATCCAATTGTCTCTAACTGGGCCAAGTTTCATGCACAATGGTCAAATATATACAAAGTTGTCGCACTTTTGGTGAAATCACTCACAATGAAAAAAAGAGAAAAAAACGCTGCACACATGCCCCTCTTTGCGAATCTTCAATCTCATCGCTGTCGCTGCTGTCCGACTCAGGTCTAACTTCATCACCTCCTACATCACTATCGGAAAGTACTGACAGTTCCCCATCAAACTTTTCCAGGGCTTTTGAAGCAGAAAAACGTTGTGAGGGGGGGGAACCTGATGGGTTATCAGCCATTTTTCCGTTGCTATGCGTGTAAATTAATTCGAGCAACATACGGTGGGTCAAAAAACCCAGAAAAAATGCCAAAAAAACAGCCGAATAAAACACAAAAGGCGCTAAATTCCTTCTCTGGTTGACTGATGTAAACATGAAACGAAAAGGTTGAGTCAAATTGTGGAAGGGAAAGGGAAAGAAAAGCGCGAGCCGATAATTCGGCTTTTGGCCACGAACTAGTAGGTTATGGAGCCGATAGATCGGCCCATGGTAGTCAAAGAGTCAAAAAGTCTGTTTTTGTCTCTTGTTAGTTCTTGTTTCATTATTCTCCCACTTCCACCCCCCCCCCCCCCCCCCCCATCCCACAGGACTCTGGCATGTGGCAGGACGCGCTGCGTGTGTGTAAGGAATACCTCCCTCACAAGCTGCAGCAGTTGCAGGATGAGTACGACCGGGAAGCTACCTCCAACGCCGGAGGGTGAGTGGTTCCCCATGGGGCTGGTCTATTTATAAATCCTCATTGATCTGAGTCAGATAGCGCTTCAACTTTGACACGATACTGACTGTAGGGATTTATTGGCAAAATCTGTGTCTCTTTTCCAAGCATATTGTTTATCTATGTACAGTTAAAGTATTTTCATCTTCAAGAGGAAAATACACTAACTGTAGATTAGCTTTATGTAGCTGCAGCATGGTGTGAGATACACAACTCTCCATTGTTTAGAGTTTTTTCTGTAGAAGACATTAAGGGATGAAATGGTGTTTAACCATCCTTTCCAAATGGTTAATCCTGTGGACCCTAAACATACTCTGCCCTTACTGTTCTGTGCTCTGAACAAATACCTCAGTGTGCCGGGGTCCAGATCTAGTCATCAACCCGTGAAAGCTCAGGTGGGTGGATCCTGTTACGTTCAGGGGAACCAGGGATCAAATAACTATGAGGCAAAGGTTGGTAAAGAGTGCTTGTAGGTTCACACTGGTGACAGACAACTGCCATGATACTTTGCTATCCCATTATGCGAATAGGCTCACAATACTCTGGAATGCTGCACTATGAATAAACTGAATGTCATGGTGCGCTGCTATCTCATTATGCCGACAGACTCGCAATGCACTGTGATGCCACTCTGTGAATAGACTAAGCGTCATGATACGCTGCTATCCCATACTGCAGATAGACTGCTCTGGTCACAATTGAAAAGTTCACTGTCTGTTCCAGCTGTGACTGCTTCAATAAGAGTTTGTCTGTAGATGCCATTGGACTGGGGAACACAGCATTGTGATTATGAGAAAATCGCAGGGCTGCACTATATTTTGACATTTATAGTAAAGTGTAGAGCACACACACACACACACACACACACACACACACACACACACACACACACACACACACACACACACACACACACATATACACATGCCAGTGTCTCTGAGTGTGGCTGTCAGGTCTCTCTGCTTTTTGCTTTGCCGACAGCTTTGAAGCATTTCTCTTCAACCCACCCCCACTGCCTTCATACAGCAATATCTCTTCCACCCGCACATCAGAATTATTTTGGTGGCCTTTTTGTAGTGTGCTTGCCATGGCACAGCAGCTCTGAATTTTGTTTTCTCTCTCCTCATCTATCTATCTCTCTTTGTCACTCTCTCTCTCTTTCACCCTGCCTCTTTCTCTTTCTCTTCTTTCTGTCCCTCTCTCTTTCCTTCCCTTCCTCCTTCCTTCTCTCTCTGTCCATCCCTCTTCTGTTTCCTCTCTCTCTTTGTCTATCCCTCCCTCCCTTCGTTACCCCCCCCCCTGTCTCTCTCTCTCTCTCTCTCTCTCTCTCTCTCTCTCTCTCTCTCTCTCTCTCTCTCTATCTCTCTCTCTCCCCTCCCCCCCTTTCTCTGTAGTTGAGTAAATGGTACATTGCACAGACCAGTGCCACTGACCACCCACCTGTTTTCCTCTCTAGTGGAGGCGCCGGGGGAAGGTGAGTACCCTCCAGTTTCTCGGTGCCAGTCGTAAACTTTTCTTCTAACCTTTGAGATAATTTCTCTCCTCCGTACCCAGCTACCTTAGACTGTGTGGCTACTGCTTGTGTTGACCAGAGATCTTGACCACTGTGACGGGCGAAGGGGTGGGGGGGGGAGGAGATTGAGCGATACTCCTAAGGATTAGTGCAGCGTTGGTATCACAAAGCATGGTGTGAGTGCCATTGTATTTGTGTGTATACGTTAGAGCTGGGCGAAGAATCGAGCCAGGAACCGATTCCCAAGATTAATACTATGGAAGAAAAGTTCCGGCTTCGTTTTACGAAATCCAACGGTAACCAATAATTTTAATCATTTAAATCCTCTTTTTTCGAATTTATTTTTGAAAAAAACAAAACAAGTTGAGGCTTTGTAGTGTTCCAAAATCAAGTTTATTCTAAATCTTGAAGATGTCCGGAGCCATTTAGGTAACCACTGAAAGAAGTCATATCATTAGAAAGTAAGTAATTGGGTTCAGAGTCGATTCCTACGATTCCTAGCCTTCAACAATCGGGAACCTTGCTGCCCAGCACTAGTATACGTATGATAGAGACAGACAGACAGCCCTACAGACAGAGAGGCTGAGAGAGAGAGAGATGCTAGTTTTGGAATCAGTCAATCATGCTTGAACTTCTGCTATGTGTAAAGATATTACCCACGTGAAAGGCTTTTCGGGGGAAATGTAAACAATGGTCAAGGTCTTTGTCGTGGAAAAGATGATGTTGATTCATGTATCTTTTGGTGTGTCTTTCTACGGCTCACTCACATCCACAGACTGTATTCTCTTGATCACTTTCGCACTAACATTTTTATTTGTCTTTTCACAATGATAATTTTGTGGGAAATGTTAGTATTGGGGCTCTGTGATTTCTGTTTTTAGATAAAAGAACATATCCTACTTCTGTGTGTGCTTTAGTTCATCCTTTTGACTCGCTTTTTCCTGGTTTTCTGGTATAATACATTTTACGTGTGTGCATTTGTGTATGTATATTAGTGTGTGTTTGTTTGTGTGTGTGTATGTGTGTGTGTTTGTGTGTGTGTGTGTTTGTGTGTAGGTTTGAGTGTGTGTTTGAGTGTATGTTTGAATGTGTGTGTATGTAGTCTCCTGGTGGCAGACATCTTGTCAGGAGATGAAAGATTTAGTCTCATGAGCCTATCGCTTATGCTTCTACCAGTTATCATATATCAGCCTTTATTGTGTGTGTCTGTTGGTGTGTTTGTCATTGTGTAACCACCTGGTAATATCCTTATCTATTCCTGTTGCTATTCGGCTATGATTTTGCTGACTGTAGTAAAGTGTAGCTCTCCAAAAAGCTTGTCTGGCATAATATGGCCAGTAGTACCTTTTTGGCTTAATATGTACAGTAATTGAACTTGACCAGACGCTCATGTAAATGTTCTGGTTATGGAGTACTCTTGCCTCCGATTTTACTTTTCTTAAAGACTTTTTGTGTTTTGGTTTCTGTGCTGGGAAAAAGCTGTTCTTACACAGGTGCATTTTCCTGTGTTTGAGTGCGTGACTTTCAGAAAACAGAATGGCTGGGGTTACTCCCATTTTGCCAAATGACTCATCCACTGAGTGTTGTGTTTTATACTCTTGTCTGTCTTCACCAACTGAATACATGAGTCATGGTGTTCTAATCTCACCACAGCTCTTTCTTCTGTAACTCTTGGCCGCACTGTTAATTCAGTTGATGTCATGCTGGACTAAAAGGAATATGTGACCCTCGTATGAATTTCAGACAAAGGTGTTCTTGAACTTGGGCTGTTTTCATGATAAAGTTCTATTTGAACCCTCCATTTGAAACATACTTGACCCACTACAGACATGATAAAGGTCTATTTGAACCCTCCATTTGAAACATACTTGACCCACTACAGATATTCAGGGTCACTAGTGTCTGTGGGGCCACATGTGGGTTGCCATAACATCATGCGCAAAGGGTCACTTTTAATTTATTTTAAGCTCCGGTGCCTGAAGTAGACTTTTGGTGTTTTTATAGCTTTCCGCCCTCTTTTTAGCAGGTGCTGTGGTGTGGTTCTCCCCTTCTTTCCTATCAGACGTCTGTCATCCTTATCTCTCCTTCTTCTTTTCTTTGTATATTACTCTATAGTAACACCTCTTATCTTGGGCACTTATATGACTTGTTTGTGTTGCAAGTGCTGTAAGATTCTTAATAAAACTAAAAAGCCTCTTCTTGTAATTGCTTTTCGTCTGCTCTCGGTAAAGTTTTTTCCTTCATAGGCCTATCCCACATAAATATACTGACAAACACTTATGGAAACTCATAAATTATTCTTGTATTGCTGGAGTTTATTTTTTGGTGGTGTTTTTCAAAGCGAGTGAATAATATTCAAATGTGCATATAATATGTATGTATACATAATTTATGTGTACGGTTACGTATGTGCAGATCCTATTGTTGCAGATACTTATTTGTGTGTGTGTGTGTGTGCGTGTGTCTGTGTGTGTGCATGTGTGTGTGTGTGTCTGTGTGTGTGTGTGTTTGTGTGTGTGTGTGTGTGTGTGTGTGGTGAACTCCTGAGCTGCAGCAAGCTGCTGTGCGTTGAAGTAAACTTCAAGTCATGTGTTGTTAATATATTAAGCAAACAAGCTTCTTTTCTACCTCCTCAACCTTTTCCATCTGTCTTGAGTCATGTGTAAGTCACCTTGCATCGATAAAAATGTGCTCATCATACATATATGATCTTTTATACGACCTTTGACAAAGTTTAGATCATTAAATAGTCAGGGTTCTTTGATCACACTTGTCAGAACAAGCCCAGGCTGGGACATACCTTTTATTTACCCATTATCTTTGCTGCTTTCAGTCATGAAGTTTATGGAATGCACCAATCATTGTGCCTGAGTGCATCTCCCCACTTTGCCCCACATCACATGGCGAGACAGCACTGATATGATTGCTTGTATTCTGTCTCTGTCTCTCCCCCCTCTCTCTCTCCCCACTCCCCCTCTCTCTACCCACTCTCCTCCTCTCCTCTCTCTCACTCTTTCTCTCTCTACTCTCTCTCTCTCTCTCTCTCCCCTCTCTCTCTCTCACTCTCTCTCTCTCCCTTTCTCTCTCCCTCTCTCAGTCTCTCATGCTTCACATTTGTCCCGCAGTGGTGCGGAGGCCATCGTGCGACAGGCGCGGGAGTGGGAGGCGTCCGGCGAGCACCAGCGGGCCGTGGAGTGTTATCTCAAGGTCACACCTGACATGGTCCCGGATGTGAAGATTGTGGAGAAATGCCTCATGAAGGTAATCAGAAACACCCGCAGATATACCAACAGGCATGCAGATATACTGACGAAAAGTACACAATAACTATACGAACAAGAGAATAGTCATACATATGTTTAATTCTGTGAAGGTACTGATGTCCACATATTCATAATCTTACAGACATACACATCTTACTGGTGCGAAGACACAAACATGCACATGTTTAGGTTTTTAAAGTCAGAGCTAAGTGTACAGCTATTGTTCTGCATGTTGGAAACAGTCATTTCAAATGGATAAGTACCTTTTTAGATCTATATGTAGGTCACTTATTTGTGTGGCGTGAATTGTTGTTGGATGAGCAGAACAAATTTAAAGGAATGTAGTTGCTTTGGGGGTCTTTTAAGCCTGTCTGGGACATTCAGAATATATAAGACTTCAGAAAGGAATTGATAGGCAACTAAAATACATGACTTGAAATGGGTTATTGCAGATGTGTTGAGGTTATTTTGCTCATCCTTCCAAGCCTGTTCAGCAGAAGTAGAATCAGGTGACCTTGACCTATGTGTGTATTCTCCTCCCAGGCAGGCGACATTGCCATCAAGTTCCTGGATAACCAGAAGGCTCAGACAGTGGTGGAGATGGTGGGGCCAAAACTGGCGGACATACGCTGTCACTCTACGGTGAGTCTCAGAATATATCAGGACAACAGCACGCGTCTTTATACACCGACAGAACACACTGACAGCAGACACAGATACAACGCATTGGGAGGGCTCAGATACAAAGCACACCTCACAACACACCAAAAGAATACATGGACTTAACGCACACATACAACGCGTGAGGCAGACACTGCTAACAGAAAGAGACACCTTATGATTCCTCACACTACTGTCTCACCTCACTGAGCTCTGACCAGCATCTGTTGGGTAGTGGTTAGGTGCTTTGCCATCACACCCAAAGGATGTGAGTTTGCTTCCCTCATGGGAAGTTTTTTTGATCGATTATCTCCATCTGTCTGCTGGTATGATGTGTCCTACTCAGTCTAGGTTGGCCCTGACAGGCAATGTCTGTACACCCTGCCTCCCAAATTAACTAATTTGTGTGGATGAGGGTGTAAAACTCTGCAGTTACAATTACTGAACTGTGATTCGTGTTGCTGACTGTCTCTGATCTCCTCATCCCCCCCTCCCCAACCCACTTTTACAGCACAGATTGTTGGAGGGCGCCACTGGCTGGTAGGTCCTACTTCTTTTCTTTCCCTCTGTTGTTTCCATCTGTCTGTCTGTCTTACTTTTTCCCTGTGCCAAATGACCATTATTGTGTGGATGTGCCTCTTTTTACTCAAACAAACAAACAAACAAAGCTTTTACTGCCCTCTGTGCTAATCAAATATGTCTCCTGCTTTATTCCACCCCCCACCAACCCACTTGCAATGCTTTATGTGCTTACTAAACTCTGTCCCCTGCATTATTCTCTCCCACTCAGGCAGCTGAGCTGTACCTGAGCATGGACATGGTGAAGGAAGGTATTGACATGCTCATCTCAGCCGGTGACTGGAACAAGGCCAAGAAAGTGGCCAAGGAGATGGATCCCAGGTATGGAAGGCTATGTGGGCCATGTGTGAGAAAATATTGCAAAGTATGGAGAGTAAAGTGGGCCACATTTGAGAAGATCTTAAGCAGGGTACAGAGGGCTGGGTGAGCCATATTATATGAGAAAATGGAGGTCAGGTATGAAGAGCCAGATAGATAATATGTGAGAAGATGGAGCCCAGGTATGGAGGACTGGATGAGCCATGTGTGGAAAGATGAAAGCCCGGTCATGACATGTAAATAGGTTTGACCTTATGTATCGTGGTATTTAACCTAAAATTGTGTTTTGTCTTAGTATAGTATGAATGGCTGGATTCCATAATCAGATACCTCAAGCTTTCATCATCATCCAGTGCCAGATCTGCAACAGACATCGGCGATCATGGTTTTCCACTCATTCCTTTGCTCGGATGCTCTTAAAAAAGCTACGTTTCCCTGATCTTTCCCTGTTACCCATTTGTTTAGGTTCCCTAAGTATGTTGTTCTGGGCCTACCCCTGCCTCGCTTGCCCTCAATTTTGCCAGTGAGAGCTAGATGTTCAAGCTTTACTTTAGTTTATTGTTTTTCCTGTCCAGGTATGAGGGTTACGTGGATGAGAAGTATAAGGACTTCTGCAGAGACCAAGGGAAAGCTGAAGATGTGAGTACTGACTTGTCTGCCCTTGTTTCTGTTGTTTTTTGTTGCTAAGAAATGCTGAACAGAGTCAAATTGCAATCCTTGAGAGTATGCTGGTCTTTCCTCCAGCTTTTGGACAAATTCACCACAATGTTTATTTTAGGCATAAGGGATAGAGCTGCAAAGTTGGACTATTTTGAGTGTTAATGTAGGTCGGTTTTTTTTCAGCCAGGACTTGAGGGGAAACATCTTATAATAAATATATCTTATAACATCTTATAACAAATATATATTTATATATAGGCCTATATATATATATATATATATATATATATATATATTTGTATATATAGAGAGAGAGAGATGTGTGTGTGTGTGTGTGTTTATCCTGTAATGTTCTTCAGTAATACAAAGCTTAATTGACCATATCTGTCCCCAGCTGGCCAGCGTAGATGTGATCGGAGCCCTGGACCTGTTTGCTGAGAAAGGGGAGTGGGACAAATGTTTGCAGACTGCTGAACAGCAGGTGAGTGGGGCAGGCGGGAGGGGAGGTTACAGATAATCTAGACAAATGGTGACCAAACATCAGTGAATCGGGGCAGGCATTGAGGGTGCCAGTTTCGATGACTGGAAAGTCTAGTTTGTAGCCTCATCTATAACGTGATGTGTGACACAGATGTGGGAGCTGGGCTTGCTGTTGTCAATGGACTGCATTTGTTTTGTTTATTGTAATAAGTTTTACAGTATTTCCAACACAATTAGGTCATATAAATGCCAAAATTTAGAGGTGTTAAATGAGAGTAACAAATGCAAACAAGGAGAGAAAAGGACGATAGACATTTGATGGGAAAGAGAGAGCATACGTACCAGAGCACCCTCCAGCTATCCACACTGCATCTGTATGCTCATTAGTGTGTACATGTATGTGATATGTGTATGAGTCTGAGTTATGAACTTTTTCTTTATTCAAACGGACTCAAATTCTCAAAACATTAACAGTAATTATTCCCTGACCTTTACTCTTTTATCAATTTTTTTAAATTTAGCTTTTTTTTTATATTGTTGTGGTTGATTTATAATAATAATAATAATAATAATAATAATAATATATAACACTTATATAGCGCATTTCCAAAAAAAGTAGCTCAATGCGTTTTACATTGGAATACCCATTTTTCAAAAACCTTTCTTACTACTTCCTTTCTTCTCATGCAATATACATTAATACACACACACACACACACACACACACACACACAGAGAGAGAGACTATTTTCATCCAGACATAGGAACAGAATAACTATAATGAAAGATAACGTTAAAAGCATATGAAGGATAGGCCTGTAGGAACAGAAAATGTTTAAGATGTCTTTTGATGAAGCTATCAAGTGTTTTTATTTGTCTTAGTTTCATGGGTAATCTGTTCCACATAAATGGACCAAGACATGAGAAAGATCTCTCTCCATATGATTTGTATGATTTTACAGGTGTCACAAGTAGGGTGTTATCGTTTGATGATCTTAGGTTTCTCCCTGGTTTATATATACTGATAAGTTCTTGTAGATAAAAAGGAGCAGTTTTATTTACACATTTGAAACACCTGATTTTGTTGCTTTTCATTGCTCCCACAGAACCCCAAGGTCCTGCACAAGTACGTTGCCCTGTATGCCACTCACCTGATCAAGAACAACAACTCTATGGCTGCCATGGGACTCTACGCCAAGTATGGAACCCCAGCCAACCCTCAGGTCAGTGCATATGTCTGCTTCACTCACCAACACCACCAGGCAGGGCTTCAAGAAAGGTTTCAGAATGTAAATGTACCGTGGGGGGGGGGGGGTATGTAATGGTCCCAACCCATAGTTCATAAGCAAGATCTGTACACTTTATATAGAGAAAGAGAAAAATATTTATACTACTTGAGAAAAGGTGACGCAGAGAATAAAAGTCAACTAATAATATTATACAATGCATCACATGGTCACTAATATAATACTTTTTATGCCCCTCGGTCTCTCTGGCGTTTACCAGATGACAAGGACATGTGATTACTTGAGGGAGGCATTGCGCTGCCAAGAGCGAAATGCTCGCAGCTAAAGGGATTTGAAAATAACAACAACAACAACATGCACCTCGGCCTCAACAACATAGTCTTGCATTGGGTGAACTAATGGTGCAGAGGAGTTTTGTTGCCGTAAACAACAAAAAAAGGAATGGAATTTCAATGTACCTCTTCTTAGTACATTTCATTTGTTCACCTTTCCCTTTCAAAAATCTTCTGTTATTTTTGCAGTATAAAAATTTTCTGAGCAAACTCATGGCTTGTGTAATGTTTATTTAAGCAAAAGTTTTTGCTTGTACTTGTATTCAAATGCATTTATGTTTATAAGCCTACTTTCTAATAATAATAATTACATTTATTTAGACATTTATTTAGCGCGTATCAACGCTCAACAGCATGCTCTATGAGCTTTACAGCTGTTATTACCCCAACAGACCTTAGAGCACAACTCAGAAACATTTTCAGCTTCCTGGGAAGCATATAGTGCAATCTTGGAATTTCATGCTCTCAAACATTACCAAATTGACAAGATCCTTCGCAGTCTATAGCCGGGTACCCATTCCCACCTTAGTGAAGTGAGGAAAATTTGTGTAAAATGCCTTACCCAAGGATACAACATCGGGCCTACTGAGGTCGTTCGAACCCACGACTTAACTGTTGCGATTCGAGAGCCTAACCAATAGACCACCGACCACTGACAACACTGACGTCACTAGTAGCTGATGTTCCTGACTCTGTCCCCAGAACTACAACATCTACAAGAGAATTTTTACCGACATGATCGCCAAGCGGGACCTAAGCAAACCTGAGGCATATCAGTCATGGGCAGAGTTGCGGGACATGATGTACGACCTGGTGAGTCCCACCTTTCCTGTCTGTCCCCGACCTTTGACTTCTACGTTTGTGTGTGTGCAGATATGTTTTTGTGTGTTTATGTGTGTGTGCAAATGTGTTTATGTTTGTGTGCAGATGTGTTTTTGTGTGTTTTTTATGAGTTTGTGTGTGTGTAGTTGTGTTTTTGTGTGCATGTATGTGTGTTTTTGTGTATGTGTGTGTGTGCGTGTAAGTGTGTTTGTGCAGACATTAACAATCAGGATTAGCCAGTCATTTCTCAGTTCAGGGACTCTCAAAAACTCTCCTTTTTTTATGTTTGTTTCTCTCTTGTAACACCTCAAATCTTCAACACTTGTATGGCCTAATTGTGTTGCAAATGCCATAAAAGGCTTACTAAAACAAATAAATCTTTTAGAAATTTGTATTGTCCACCCATCTGTTAAGATTCTCTGAGTAAGTTATCCTTGTGTTACCACTGCCTCTTTTGCCCTTTTCATTTTCCAGTGAGAGTGAGATGTTCAAATGTCCCAGGATGTACCAGTCTTCCAAGCAACCACATTTCTGTTGCTTCTAATTCATTTCCACCATCTTTAGCAAATGTCAAGCTTTCACAGCCGTATATTATTGTTATGGGTTGCGTCAGTGTTCATGTACTTTTTATAGTCAAATTCAACCTAAATCTTACACCCCCACCCATACTCCCACCACTACCCATCCCCTCCCTCCCTCCCCCCTTCCCAGAATGAAAACATGGCCAAGTCGTCTGAGGCACGGTCGCCCCAGCATGAGGAGTTTGAGCGCATGTTGCTGATCGCCCACTACTACGCCGTACGCTCCGCGGCTCTGGGTCAGAAGTCGCTGGAAAGTGTTGCCGGCAAGTTGAGTGTGTCGCTGCTACGTCACACTGACGTCGTGCCAGCTGACAAGGCCTTCTACGAGGCCGGCATGACGTGTAAGGTGAGGGGAATTCAGTTTGATTTTACAGCATGCTTCAGCTGTATTAGGTTGTACAGATGTTAAGGGAAATGGGATATGTTGATAAAGGTTGAGTCTTGTCATAGTGTATTGAAGGTTTTGACGTTGATGTACTGGGCTGCCCCTTGAATTTAAAAAAACCCTAACTTTTGGTTATTCCTAGTCAAATCAACATAATTAAAATTTTGTTTCAAGCTAAAGTGTACATGTTCTTATGTTCTTATCTTCCATCTTAGTTAGGTATTAATATCTTTATATTCAACTTGTTGATGAGAGTTTATCTGTGACTTGAGACAGGACCCATTGCCAGTTCTGTTACTTTTATCTTTACTCTCTGTCTCTCTCTGTCTCTGTCTCTGTCTCTCTCTCTCTCTCTCTCTCTCTCTTTCTTTCTTTCTCTCTCTCTCTCTCTCTCTCTCTCTCTCTCTCTCTCTCTCTCTCTCTCTCTCTCTCTCTTTGTTTATTTCTCTCTTTTTCTCCTTCTCTCTCTCTCTCTCTCTCTCTCTCTCTCTCTCTCTCTCTTTGTTTATTTCTCTCTTTTTCTCTCTCTCTCTCTTTCTCTCTCTCTCTCTTTCCCTGGACTTTTGGCTGATGATATCGATATTGCCAAGGGAGTGCTTGACCTTTGGTTGTCAGCTGCTGCTACTGTGGGCATGGCAGGTGGAGTGTGTCTCTGGGGTGTTCTTCCTCTGTCTGTGTGTCTATTTGTCTATCTGTCTGTTTTGATCTCTCTCTCTCTCTCTCTCTCTCTCTCTCTCTCTCTTTCTCTCTCTCTCTCTATCTCTCTCTATCTCTCTCTCTCTATCTCTCTCTCTCTCTCTCTCTCTCTCTCTCTCTCTCTCTCTCTCTCTCTCTCTCTCTCTCCCTCCCTTTTCCCTCAACTCCCAGCCATGTACATTTTGATAGAACCTCGTGCTGTGTTCCGTCCTCAGACTCTAGGCTGGGAAAACATGGCCTTTGTCTTCCTCAACCGCTACTTGGACATCAGTGAGGTCAGTGCTGTAGCCACTGAGTGGTCTTTATCAACAGAACACCCTCTCACAAACTGATCTCACCCCTAGTTCATGGTTTGCTGACAGTTTCTCTCTTCAAAACAATAATGTTAACTCTTTCAAAACATAATTATTTTATCACTTATATGTAGTGTGTAGACTGGTGACACAGTGTGCAACAAGTAGCTTGAAAAGCGACAATATAGTCCACCTGCTGCACCATGTCACACTGACTTTGTACTTTCGCACACATTGTCATCATCATTGCCTTTCTCACCCGGGTTCAGGGTATAGGCCACGAACAAACACTTTCCACCTTTCTCTATCCAGGGCTAGCCTCTTGATGTTATTTCATGTCTTCCCACTTTTCTGTACAGCAATTTCTGTGACTCTTCTCCTGTTTGCACTTGGTCTTCCCCTTGATCTTTTACCCTGTGGATTCCAATCCAACACTTTCCTTGTTATGCAACTGCCTGACTTCCAGCACTAGTTGTGCAGACCAACATTCAATGCAACTGCTATGTGAATAATGTGTTAGACTCGGTCATACATCACTCTTCAAAATGATGTATGGGGAGTCTTGTACTAAGCAGTTGAAATGCAAAAACATTTGTCAACTGTTTACAGTATCTTTCTTATCTCACAGCCCCCACCCCCACTCTCTCTTACCTCCTGCACCCAGCTCTACCCCCTCCTCCCATTCCGTTCCTTCTATCAATAAAAAGTCACGTGTCGGGATTCACATATGTTCAACAACCCTGCATTGGTTTTTCATCTCTTTACTCACATTCCTTCTTCTCACACATTCCACATTCACACAGGTAGGCACACCCACATACAAGCACATACGCACACACACTCACATATGCATTCTCTTTCTGTCGCTCTTCCTTTCTTTCTTTCTCTCTCTTTCTCTTTCTCTTTCTCTCTCTCTCTCTCTCTCTCTCTCTCTCTCTCTCTCTCTCTCTCTCTCTCTCTCTCTCCCTCTTCCTCTCTAACCTTCTTTCTTTGTCTCTATCTTTGTCTCTCTCCCTGTTGTCCCTTTCTCTCTTGCTCCTTCCCATGCACACACACAAACACACAAATATTGATATAAACTACTCACAAAATGTCTCTGTCCGCCGACAATTCACCTCTTCTTCTGTATGCATGTTTCACCAATACCAATCTGTATATGTACCTGTGTGTGACCAGTCTGTATGTGTATGTGTGTGTTCCAGGCGATGGAGGAAGGCACACTGGACATGCTTGACCACAGCGACTTCCAGGAGACAGATATCCCCTTTGAGATCCCTCTGCCGGACAAAGCTTTTCTCACGGTCAGTCACACAGTCACACATGTGTCTAGCATAAACTGACATGTCGCAAATTTTTACTACAGATTGAGATGCTCAAGTTTTCTGAACAAGAGATAAGATAATTGGTCACTTTAAAGGACAAGCGGGCTAACCCAGATTTTGGAGGTTTCCAGAAATCCTGACCCACACCAAAAGTGGGCATTGCCATACCTATAGGAGAAGTTTGGTTTCATTGGTGTGTATATTTGTTTGATTATTAGAGAAAACTCTGCTTGTCTTTTAAAGAAGCTAAACAAGGGGCAAAAACTTTTCCTTCGATTTGTTCAAAACAGCATTTTTGGGATAGCGCCCTTGTGCTTAAAAGCGACCAATTTCATTCAGTGAAAGTATAATATTTTGACCTCCCCATTCTTAAAATAAGTTAAAAGTATCTGTTGTGCATGAAGTCATGGCAACCCAAATGTGACCCCACAAAGAGTGGAAACTCCAGGTGTGGATAGTAGGGTAAGTAAATCTGAATGAGGGGCTCGAACGGACTTCTATCTTTCTTCAAATAATTGGTTTTTTGTTTCTAGCTTTTTATTTAAGGCATTAAGGTCTTCAATGCAAACGATTAGCAGACTGACCGGCTACCTTCTAGGATATATCTTAAGCCTCATGATGAATTACAGTGGAGTCTGCTTAAACCAAACATGATTATTCCGAAAATAGAGGTACACCAAAAGAAAACAATGCAATAAAAGACAAACTGCCACTCCCTGCCTTGGGGGTGGGGTTGGGGAGGGGGGTTATTATATAGACACCGTCCAAGAGGACCACCTCTCTGAGATGCCCAGTTTTGTCCTCAACAATGGGTGGTCAGTTTGGACAGGTTAAACTGTATTTCCATCTGTCTGCTGAGATGCTATAGTCCTCTTGACCTTGATTGGCCCTGACAGGCAAGGTCAAAGCAGTCAACACCCTCCCTTCCCCCCCCCCCCCCCCCCCAAATGATCTTTGTTTGTTTGTTTTGGTAAAGTGTTTTACGGCGCTCGCAACTGCATAAGGTCATATGAGCACGTGGGACACACCTAATATTTTCAGTTGATAGGAAATTTTGAATTTTGCCTGGGTAGCGGCCGAAGCCTACTCTTATCGATTTTAGACCACCAAGGGATCTTTAACGTGCGCAACTTGCACATGGGCCCTCCGAGATTTTTCGCCATTGTCCTTGAAGGCTAGGTGTAGATCTTTCCTACCAGAAGATCAGGGGTGTGGCAGAAAGACAACAGTAAGGAGGAGCCAAGGAGTAGCAGTAGAAAGGCTGCAGAAAGAGTCAGGAGCCCAGTGAAGGGGGCAAAGGAGGTGATGGGGTGGGTGCAGAAAGTGGAAATGAAAGTAGACAACAGAACATTGCTAGAGAGCAGGAAAGGAGGTGAAAGGAGACAATTTTAGAGAAGAAAATTTTTCTGTCGCTACCCAGATTCAAACCCAGGACCGTTGAATGAGAGGCCAACACCTTAACCTCTAGGCCACGAGAGCCCCCCTCCTCCCCCCCCCCCCCAAATGATCTAAATGGCTGGGGTGTAATACATTTTCAATAACAATCCACAGAGCCAGCAACACGAGGAGGTTAGGGAGTGGGTATTGGCCGTCTCCATGGATAGACAGATTGAACAAATCCTTCCCAAAGATGAACGAGGCACATATGAAGCCTCTCTGCTGGCTACAGATACCGGGATCCGATCCATGCCATGTGTAGTCACAGGTGAGCCCTCTTTTCTTACTCACTTTCACACCATACAGGTTGGTTCTTTGAGTTCAGGTTGCTTTTGTAAGTGAAAGATTCTGTTTGAACTCAGCAGTGTGGGTGATAGGAGAGCAGCTTTGGCAGGTCCTGCTTCTTCTTTTTTCCTTTTAATTTTACATGGTCCTACTTCTTCTTCCTTCCTTCCTCTGGCTGGCCTCCGTCAGGAGCGGCAGTCTGCCGCAGGCAGACAGGTAAGCGGCAACCTTTTGTGGCCTCGTCCAGAGTACATCCAGGCCCGGTCTCACGTTGTTCTCAATAAGTGGGCATCGATGTGCTTCCCCCCGCGGGCACTCATACAGTGCGTGCTGCAGGTTGTCAGGACTTGTGCCACATGCCAGACAGGAATCATTGGGAGCGGAGCCTATTGCATGGAGATACGTCTGCAGGATGGGGCTCTTCACATTGCATCTTAGCTGCGATAACACTCTTCTCTGTTTGACGGTAAGGTCTCTCTCTTTGTCCCTCTCCTGTGGTGGCTTCACCTTTCCCCCGAGGAGTCGTGCACTCGCGCTTTCTCTCATGCGTGGGCAATGATGTAACGCGAGATGCACGAGCTTGCTGACGCAATATCGACTGGAGTGTTGGACTGGTCGAGGCGGCCTCCCTTGTTGGCCAGGGCGTCAGCTCGGTCATTCCCGTTTTTTGTCCTACTTCTTCTCTTTCCTTCCGTTATTCCTGTCCGTCTATCTGTCTGCCTGTCTGTCTGTCTGTCTGTCTTCTCGTATTCCTCACACTGAATGACTATTGTTATTTTGATGTGCTTCTCTTCGTGTGATCAGTCTTATGGTCTTCGTGCAAGTTATCGAGAAGTTGTCCCTCAAAAGGGAGAAAAGGCAAGAAAACAAAGGAAAAAAATAGCCAATGAATGTAGAGAGTGGGCATTAGTGTGTGTCTGACTCTGTGTTTGTATGTGTGTGTTTGCCCAAGGTTACTGTGTGTATGTGTTTACTCTATGTATATGTATGTGTTTATGTATATGTATGTATCAGTTTACTATATATATATATGTGTGTATGTATTTACTCTATGTATATGTATGTATCAGTTTACTATATATATATGTGTGTATGTATTTACTCTATGTATATGTATTTATCAGTTTACTATATATATATATGTGTGTATGTATTTACTCAGTTTAATATGTATGTACGTGTTTACTCTATGTATATGTATGTACGTGTTTACTCTATGTATATATGTATGTACGTGTTTACTCTATGTATATGTATGTACGTGTTTACTCTATGTTTATGTATGTACGTGTTTACTCTATGTATATGTATGTGTCTTCCCCAGGTTACCCAGTGCTGAGGAACAAGGTAGACTTCAAGGACCCAAACCGTGCTGCCTGCAAGGAGGACTGGAACAAATTGCTTATGGCTACTAAAGTGAGCATATTGAGGAGAAGGGCGGGGGGTGAGAGGTGAGGGAAGGGAAAAAGAGAGTTGTAAGTTGGAGATACCCTCAAAAACACCTTCCCTACGTGGGAATTGAACTCGAGGCCAAGCACTTATTACGGCATGGGTGTCAATCACACTCAGGTGTAGATCCTGGTCTTGATGTGTTTGAACATGGGACGGTTTGTAGTGTAGAGGGTGAGACATTTTCTCCTTTGTCTTGCTGGGATGGTTAGGCTCTCGGACTCGCAACCGTAAGGTCGTGGGTTCAAATCCCGTCAGGGACCGGACGTTGTGTCCTTGGGAAAGGCACTTTACACAAATTTTCCTCACTTCACCCAGGTGGGAATGGGTACCCGGTTATAGACAGCGAAAGATCTTGTCAGTTTGTTAGTGTTTGAGCGCTTAATCAGCTGCTTGCACTGTATGCTTCCCGGGAAGCTGAGAATGTTTCGGAGTGTCCTATGGTCTGCGGGGGTAATAATATAGTGTAAAGCGCATAGAGCCTGCTGTTGAGCGAGGATATGCTCTATACAAATGCTGTCTATTATTATTACTCTGTGGGTGTGCTCTGTCTCCTTGTGACGTGTAGGGCTGGATACTGCTCGTCAAATTTGAGAGTGGCGATTCGCGATTCAGTCGGCTTCACTGAATCGCGAGTACGCGAGCGCTCGTGGAGCTGTGGCGGAACACTGACTGAAACGGAACAGTGTCATATCAACGCCTCTTGGCAAGCGCAAGTCCCACTCTTGTTGTTCCGCCATCCTCTCCGCCCCACACCCTTTGTTGCGCTGCTCTATCAACTGACCTCAAT